TTCATTCATTTACACTGTTGTATAGAATTCCATTGTATTGACTGTACTATAATTTCCTTATCCATTTTACTGCTGGCAGACGTCTGGGTTGTTTCCAGTTTGGGGCTGTTGCAAATGATGCTTCTGTAAACATTCTTGTTCATGCCTTTTGGTGCTATGTGTATACATATTTCTACTGGATATATAGATGGACTTTTATAGACCAACTTGGGACTTAATCACCATTTCTAAGATTTCCCATTCCAAACAGGCAACTTACAAATGATCTTGCAAAATATAACCATTTGTAGTTGGTACACACCTTGTGTTTACAAGCCAATTTTAACAAATGGACAACTTCTGATTATATTTGCTACTGTCAAAAAGAGAGATAAATTAACAATTTGTGTTACACTTTTTAAAATTTCCTTAATGTGAATGCTCAGTTTTAATTTGGAACAATTCAGACAAGTAGGAAAACAGCACAGTGTAGGGAAAGGAATCCAGAAATAGGATCAGGAGGTCTGGTATCAGGAGTCCTCTTTATACACTAACTCTTGAAAAGACATTGGGTAAGTCCCTGACCCTCTCTCTGCCTGTGTGTCATCCTAAACAGAGATAATGACCCCTGACACACACTACATTATTAGAAGATAGTAGACATCAAGGTATCTTAAAAGGTGAAAAACACACTGAACAGACATATGATATTATTGCTCTCAGCCACAAATTCCATTCTTCCTTGGATAACATTTTGGATATGCATCCAGCCACCCTTCATTAAAATCACCTAGAAATACATGGAAATAGCAATGTAAACCTATGAAACATGATAGCAGAAACAAAACTTTTTTAAAGATTAAATCCACATAAATACTATTTCTATAACTTTAAAATATGCAATGCAAGTATAGTGTTTACTTGTGTAATTTTTCAATTGTTGTTTTTACAGACTCTTGGAGTTCACCATAATAGCCTCTTTTTGATCTCATCATCATCATCGTATTACTGCAAAAATTTCTTTTAAGGGCCAGCCCCAGTGGCTAGTGGTTAAGTTCGACATGCTCCACTTTGGCAGCCCAGGTTCGGTTCCTGGGTGCAGACCTACACCACTGGTCTGTCACTGGCCATGATATTGCAGTGGCTCACACACAAAAAGAGGAAGGTTGGCAGCAGGTGTTAGCTCAGGGCAAATCTTCCTCAGGGGAGAAAAAAAAAAAACAGACCTAGAGATGAATCCATTTGCATCTCTCCTAAATAACTACTCATTTAAAAAAAATTCTTTTAAGACAGTATGGTCTAGTGGAAAAGTATTGCATGGAAGAACAATACCTGAACATACAAATAGTATCTATTAATATCTTTGCCCACCCTCCACCTCAAATGCTGTGTCTGCCTTCAGTTTCCTAGATCTAGTGGAGAAGCACTATCTGTAGCCTGTGGCCCTTACGGAAGTTACATTTCGCTTCCTTCTGAATGGATTTTCACGCCCCACTGCTCTCTGGTAGAATAGAGAGGTGTGTCCCGATACGCCCTTTGTTGTCTGAAGGTCTGGGTTTAAGGTCAATGTCCACAGCTTACTGCTGGGAACTTTAAACTCTCAAAAAGCCTCAGTTTTCTCAGATTTAAAATGAAAAAAATCTATATAGTAATAGTAACTGTTCAATGGAGTCTTTGTGAAGATTCAATGAGATAATGCAGGTGAAGCATTAGCACAAGACTTGACACATAGTAAGTGTTCAGTGAATCTTGTATTTTTTAAATAGATAGCATCACAGTGTTGTAACACCAGCTGTGGCTGAGAGAATGCTTGGTGTGGCTGCCAGCCTATATACCTCCTCATCTAAGCTGTCTGCCCAGAGGGGTGAGGGCCTCCGAAGAGCACAGAGCTCCCAGCCACATCTTGACGCTCTTCCCACACCCTCCATTAGGTCCTGCGTAAACCAAGGATCATTGGAGTCTTTGTGAGTAGCGGCAGCAAATGCTTTCCCAGGGGTTCAGATCTGCTTTCCAGCTCAGGCCTTGAAGAATTGAGCTGGCTCTTCTTTATTTACAGATGTATTTTATTTCACTAATTTTCCCTTTATTTGTCTGCCAAGTCATTCCATGTAGTTTTATTAAACCAGTGCTCAGTAATTTCTGTAGCATTCTTGACTTTTTGCTGCCTCTCTCTGTCTCTCTTTGTCTCGCTCTCTGTCTGTCTGTCTCTTTCTCATTAACTTTGGAACCAGTCTCACTAATGCTCTGTATTTATGTAAAAATCTTAAGTTACGCATACTGAGTGTCAAGAGCTCCACTAAATGCCAAACGCGAACGTTTTCAAAGTATGTAATTTCCTAAGACCAAACAACTCGTGGGTCTGTTTTCAGTGCAGTGTTAAACAAGATATAATATTATTGGGTATGGTCCTTATTATACAGCATCTGAAGTAGAACTGGATTCTCATTTTATTGAGATTTTTTGTAATAAAAAACATATATTATAAAGCTGTTGGCCATCTGGCAAAAAATAAAATAGCTCTCTGAACACAAACATAACATTTGACATCTGTGCACGATCCATGGGTTCTCTCTCCTACTCAAAGTCTATTAAAACCAATAATTTGACCAAATCTATCATTGAAGAAGACTTCTTATGGTACATAAAAGCTCACCATGATGATAAATTATTTTGTGTAGAAACTTTGACCCTTTTGGAATATATATCGTTGCTGTGCCAAAGTATGTCTGTCAAACCTTTTACTGTGTGCAGAACTAGCTCCCATTATTTTATTCAAAAATTGCTGAAATATCTGAAACCTTGAAGAATGTATGAAGTGGTAAATGTTTAGAAAGCTCTGGACATTATGCCACTCAAACACTACGTAATTTAATGCAAATGACGTATGGAGTTATACCTCTTTAGAAGTTGATAATTGGTAAATTTGAGAATTCTATAACCTGTATCTTAATCCTTGAGAAGTCAAGAGTTTAAAAGGAATTGCCGGCAGACTATAATTTAAGCAGGAAGTATGAGTATAAACATTTGTTACAAATCTACAGGGTAGATGTAGCTATGTTTGTATCTATTCATGGTATGTTTTTTACGGTAGCATGATTTTATGTTAGGTATTGTTAACAAGAGAATGTGAGGCTGGTAATAGAATGTCTCCAAACTGTTAAATCTTTAAAAAAAAAATTCAATCAACTGTGTATAGTACTACTGGGCTTCCACTCAACTATGTTTCATATGGCATTACGCTAAGGCAGTCATTAATGAACTGTTAATGATATAGCACTCCATTCTTAGCCATTTATGCATTTGTTTTATATTTTTAAACTTTTCCTTGAAATTAGTATATTTTTATCCATTAACAGTGTTTTCTTAGATTTTAAAACCTCGAAAACAGAATTCATTTATTGAGACCTACTAGGTAGCAGGCCCTGTAGAAAGTGAATGAGTTACAGGAGTGAACTAACACAGTCTGGGGAGGATGCTGAGCCCAGTGAGGGAAAGCTTCTGCCAGAAGTTGACACTTACTGTCTGAGCAACGAGTAGGTATTTTACAGTGGGTGGAGAGCATTGCAGGCAGAGGGACTGTTTATTGAGAGGTACTATGATCTGGTCAGGTGACTCCAAAAGTTCAATGATGTAAAGTACGGAATAAATAAATGGAATGCCTATATGCTAAGAGCTGTCCTGCTGAGTGCCAGCTATCCTTCGCATAAAGTGCCTAGAAAGCTCACGTCAATTAAGTAGGGTAGGTCTGAACAGCTTCATTTTCTACGTGAACCTAATGTTTAACAATATTACATCATTTGTCCAAGATTGTAAATCCTAGATTGAGGACTGAACCAAAATTTAACTACACCTGAAGCCCTGGCTCTTTATACTGTGCGATTTAGTTTTGTTACTACGTATATTGGATATTTAATAAGGGCTTTTTGACAGTGGTTGTTATCACACTGTCTCTAACAATGTTATTTAAACACATACGTCTTTCCTCACCTCTCTGGTAAATTCCAATATGTATATAGTAAATAATGTCAAAAAATTCCCTTTTGTGATATAATAATATGACCATAGGGAAACTTAGCCTTTTTAGGTATTAATTCCTAAACTACATTTTGTGGAACACAAAGGAATGTTTGTAAGTGTTAATGGTTAATATGGCAGTGATTAATCTTCTAAATATTTTAAATAAATTAAGAAAAATAATAATATATAAAAATTTTAAATTACATTTATAAATGTATAATTATAGTCTTCTAGTTATCTATTTTCTAAATATTTTAAATAAAGAAAATTAGTAAACACATTTACAAAATTTTTACAAATTAATAATAATGAAATTCTAATAAATTAATAAAATTAAGATTAAAAAAAAATACCCACATCAGAAACTCTACATGAAATTACCTGACACATACACATGTTGCTTCCTCTGTGTCATTGCTAAATTGAATGTCATAAATTTGAAGATTATACATCTTAAATTTAGGATATTCAAATATTATTATGTTTTGTACATCTGAATCTATTTTGATCATTTCATCTGCCAACAGATTCATCTGTGAGACTAGTTTTTAGTTTTTGATTTAATCCAAATGAATAGCATTGTGTCTCTTGAGAACCTGTAGATGTTGTAACAAAGTATTATGCATGTGCAAGTGGCCTGTGGTCAAGTAAGCTTGGCAAATGCTGCTATAGAGCATTCTACCACTTACTTAAATGATGATGAAGAGTGAAACTGGAACAAAGCAGAGCAAATAATGATTCATTCCTAAGAGTTTCCTGGTAGCAATTAACTGAGTAATAGCAAATCATTATTAAAATGCTGCCATATTGCACTGCATTGCTACCTAAATTGCATTTGTGTGAGAAACTATTTGTACTCTAATTTTTATTATGCAGTTATCCTTGGTGTTTCGGAACATGGAAATTTTCACTTTACATATGACTCTTGTTATAAACATGTTTACCATTTGCTGTTGTAACTAAAAACAGCAGACCTTTAAACAACTTGTATTTTTCACCCCTAGCAATGCATCTCTTTGGCCTCAACTGGCAGTTACAACAGACTGAAAATGACACATTTGAGAATGGAAAAGTGAATTCTGATACCATGCCAACAAACACTGTATCATTACCTTCTGGCAACAATGGTAAGAGAAAGAATTCTGTGTCTCGTAGTTTTCTTTTAACACTTCTTTTCCATAAATTTATTTTTACCCATGTTACATCCAGTTTTATGTGGGAGATGGAAAATGTTTGGAATTACAGATATCATTTTTTAATGAGTGGTTTTTATTAGTTGACTTCAAAGATTGGCATTCACATTGTTCTTATAGGAATAATATGATTTCCTGCCTTCTGATTTGATGGCTAGGTCACCTTTCCTTCCTGCAAGTGTGTATTTCATTTTATTTTGAGTCTGTAAATAGATTATGATTCAGTGCGTCATCTCTTATATTACCTTGGGTCTATTAAGCTTTCTTCAATCAAATAGTATGTGGAATTGGAATACTACATTAATTTTGTTATAAAAAGGCTTTAAATGCAAAACACGTAAAAGGATTATAATTTATTGACCTTTCTTCTGGTTGCCCATTCTCTAAACCTTCAAAAGTTTGCGCTTCGGGCTAACAGACTTTCAAATCAATTGGCTCTGAATTAAAAATGGAATTTAAGAGGTAGGTTAGAGAATGCTGTGTTTCATTTTTCCAAATTAAACACCCAGAAAAATGTATACACATGTAATGGTATTATATATACCCGTCTATTATTTTTATGTAGGTGTGTGTGCCTCTATATAGGTCTTGGCATTTGGCATCCTCTGACTTTTTGCAAAATGTCCTAATACTTTATATCTCAAAGCAACCAGATCAAGACACCTTTTCCTCTCACATGATAAATGTATTGTTTGTCTTTAAGCATTTCCCTAGCTTTTCTTCCTCTTGTTTCTTCTTATCTAGCATATTTGTATTCTGCTTTGGCGTCAACTGTGTTCATCCTCAAGTGGCTAGTTTCTTTGCAAGACTAAAAGGAAGCATTATATATTTATATATAATATAATACAATATATTTATTTATATTTATATATATGCTGCATTTTATATTAACCATTGACTGTGACTAATGCTTTTACATATTTCGTTGTTGTTGTTCTTTGCTTTCCCATCTTCTGTTTTAACAATACTACTTTATGGCACTTCTCTTCCTTCTTAGGGAGGCTGAGGAATTTTATAAAACATTAGGTTTTGGGGACTGGCCCCATGACGTAGTGGTTAAGTTTGTGCACTCCGCTTCGGCGGCCCAGGGTTCAGATCCCAGGCGTGGACCTACACACCACTCATCAAACCACACTGTGGTGGCATCCCACAAACAAAATAGAGGAGGATTAGCACGGATGTTAGCTCAGGGCCAATCTTCCTCACCAAAAAAAAAGACATTAGATTTTCATACTAATAATATCCCCACCCCCACCCCCACCCCTGTATGGAGCCTTTTGATACAAAGTCCTACACGTTCCAAAAAACTATAAACTGGTGACAGTGGAAGTCACTGCACAGTAGATTAAAGAAAAGTGAAGAAAAGCTTTCCTAATTAAAACTGTTGGTGGGAAATTTCAATTAAGTAAAATATAATTACTTTAAACAATGGTTTGATTTTTTTATATGCTGATAACACACATATGAACAAATCAAGTAACTACACAGAAATCAAGAGTATTTATTTCTGGTTTATATAGATTGAAATTTAGACTGTGTCTTAAAGTGGATGGTTCCTGCGAAAATGGTCAAGTGGCACTTATTAACCACACATATAGGGAACTTTTTTTCAGACTGAAGAAATTATACTAAAGAGAAAAATGCTTATTGTAGACATTTTATTTGTTTTACAACATCCTAACCTCTTATTATGATTAAAATGAAAATAGAGTGTGGCTAATTAGTTTCACAGTACTTGAAAAGCTCGATCCTGAGAAAGCTGTGACATCAGAGGTGCTCGCACAGATGGGTCCTGGGTACTGGTATTTTCCAGGGAAAACCTCCGGTCTAGTCAGCATTCCTCAGCTCACATAGGCCTCTATTCAAATCCCAGCTTCTTCGGGAAACCTATTTACTTTGTAACCTTGGTCAACATGCTTAGTAGTTCAGATCTGCAAGAAAATTTTATGACAATCTAGGATCATATGAACCCCAGACATTTGGAAGAAGGTCATATAAATATGGCTTCAGAAACCTCCATGGAGCTGGAGTCCTTGCAAACAGTGAGGAACTATTGACCATGACTGCGTGAGAAATACTTGTTACATCGACACCCACATACACATACGCACATATATCTGAAATATGTTTCCCGAAATAGTACTCATGCTCATTTTGTGAAATGCACCCCGATATTTTCTATTCTGTTTTATTGTAGTTCCCATTTATAACAAATGCTAGTTGAAATTCACTCAGATAATTTCACAGTTTAGAAAGGATGGTGGTCCACAGGTGCAAAAGCCCTGTTCTGAAATTCTCCTTCTCTAAGAGGGACTGAAGTTCCCCGCGTGCTCATAGAATGCGCTGAGTTCAGTCTCTGGGCGCCTGGAAAGCGACTGTGTGTATGCGTGAATCAAGTACCGTCTTTCTTTCTAGCCTCCCACGTAAGATAACAGATGCCCCAGAATGAGTTACTGCCCTGGAGAAAAACTGACCCTCCCCTGCCACTTGGACTAGGAGATTCGTAGGAATTTCTCTTTATGGAAGGAAGGCTGTCTCTGGGCTCAGATCTTGTCCGAGGTGTGATGTAGACAGTAGTCACTTGTTGTCTTCTTTATTATTTCTCAGATAACCCAAAAAACTCTAAATTGTAAGAAATTCTTATTTCGTTTTTCCAAGTAAATGTTCTTGGTATGTATTAAATATTTGTAGACCTAGAGTGCAGGGGGTGGGGATGGGGGGACTCTATTTGGAAAAAGGAGGTACCTTAAAAACACTGCTTTTAAACCTCTGTGACAAACCTCAATGTTCATGTACCATCACCCACTACTTCAGTTTTATACACTGTCCAGAGAAGCAGATCCCGTCATCTCTTTAGAAATTCTAGGAGATTACAACCCTTATGAAAGCCTTAGAATTCTGAACGAAGCCCGCTAGGAGACTTTACCATGCTAAGCATAATGAGAAAATTACTTCACGGCTTCTAAATGCAGTACTCTTGTTTATGCGGTCCTACTTTATTCTTATTTTATAAATATAATTCTAAGGAACAGTCATGGTACTAAGGGTTCAGTAAACTCCCGGCTTGCTTTTAAGTTAATTCTAAACTGAGGCTGCTAAATGGTATTTAGTATTGAAAAGAAGAATTCCTATTATACCCCCTGATCCTCTGCTGATTGTTCTTGAGACTTTCTTTGACTACAAATTTTAGAGATGAGATGTCAGAAGTGTGGGGTCTCAGGCAAACCTGATGGAAGTGGGCAGTATGAAGAAAGAAGTAAGAATGAAGTTTTTAGCTCAAACACCAGTCTTTTTCCAGAAACTAAAATTATTCCCCTGGACCAAGGAATTCCTTTAGCCTAATGACCTGGAAAGAATGACACAGGCTTATATTCAAATCCTAGCTCTTTCATTTATTTGCTTTGTAACCTTGAACAAGTTACTTAACCTCTCTGAGCCTCAATTTTCTCATACATAAAGAAGAAATAATAATACCCATCTCCTGGCTCACCAACTTCAACAGTCTGGCTGCCCTACTACATTTGCCTTGCCAACTCTCGCTCCCACGCTTCTCAACAGTTATTTCAAACCTTCCTACTGTACAGAAAACTCCAGTCCATCCGCTGTCTCAGCAGATGGCTTTACGTTCTGTTGAACAAAAAACTAGGAGGGAGTTCTCTGAATTTCATGTAAACAAATCTCCATTCCTATGCGTATCTGGACCTATCCTTTCACGTTTTTCTCACTAGTCAAGGCTAATCTTTGCATAAGGACTCTTGATCCCATTCTATATCTTCAGAATTTCCCCACTCTACTGATATCTTTCAGTCAACATTTGAACATTCTGAAATCTCTCACATCTTTAAAAAAAAAATCCTGAGTCTACCTCCTACGCCAGTCCCACCCTATCTTTCTCTTCTCCCCTCCTTCTTGAACGTAGTGTATATATTCACTTAATTCATTTCCTTACCTTTCACTTACTCCTGTTACCCAGTCCGGCCTCTGTGATACTCCTTTCTCATGACTGTCCTCTACCACCACCACTCATGGAAACCGAGGTCTTCCAGAGTTAGCAATTGCTCTGTCAGTAGCATCAATTAATACTCTTCAATCTCTATTGTATGTAGGTTCTTGGTAGCATTTAATAGGTAACCTATCCCCCCTAATTAAATATTCTTTCTCTTTAGCTTCTATGATACCACATTTGCCTGGGCTTCCTGACTTTTTGGTAGTGACTTCTCAGTTTATTTAGTTGACTTATCTTCTTCTGTCTGATCCGTAAACATTGCTGTTACCCAGGACTCTGATCTTTTCAGAATATAATCTCTTTGAGCTCTCTCATCCACTCTCCTGACTCCAGTTACATTCTCTGTGCTGTGTGTTATGTTACACTCTGTGTGCTCCCAAATCAATAAGTACAGCCTACATCTCTCTCTGAGCTCCAGACATCAACTACATAAAATCTATCCAAGTATCTTTGGAACATCTCCACTTGGGTGTGTTCCAAGCACCTCAAACTCCACATGTCTAAAACTAAACCCATCAAGTACTTTAGTTACGTATTATTGCATAATAAGCCACATCAAAACTCGGTGGTTTCAAAGAACAATTGTTATCATCTCTCATGGTTCTGTGGCTTGACTGGGCAATTTTTGTGTTGGGTCTCTCATGCAATTGCTTTCAGATGTCAGCTGGATCTGTTTGAGCTGGGAGTCTAAGGTGGCTCACTCTCATGGCTGGCAGTTGATGCTATTTGTTGGCTGTAACTCACCTGTGACTGTCAAATGGAGCATCTGACCATAGCCTTCCATGTGGCTTGGGCTTCTCAGAATATAGTGGCTGATCCTGAAGAGGAGTATCCCAAGAGGGAACATTCCAGGAGACCCAGACAGAAGTCACAGAAGGCTTCTTGTGACCTAGGACATTGGACATTCCAGGATGTCACTTCCATCACATCCTCTTGGTCAAGAAAGGCAGTAAGATCAGCCTGGATTCATAGGAAGCAGAATTAAACTCCCCCTCTTCACTGGGGAATGGCAGGGACACCTTGCATAAGGCATGTGGGATGGAAGATGTTGTGGCCGTCTTTGGAGAACACAATTGGCATATCATCTTTCTTTCCCTATTTGCCTTCTTTCAGTGCTTTTTATATTAGGAAATGGCATCATTCTCTAGTTCTCTGAGAGTCACACTTGACGCCTCCTACTCTCCTACCTCCCATACTCAATCACTTACCAAGTCCTGTCAATTCTAACTTCAAAATATCTCTTGGATCCTATCATCTCTCACCTGGATTACAGAAGTCACCTTCTTTCTGGGAGATATCTCTCTCATCTTGCTCATCCATTCTTCAAACACAAATTTGAGATATCAATCCCCTGCCTAACCCCTTCAGTGACCTAGATCCTGGTCAGATACCTTTAAATGACTTACAAGGCTCTCCACAATCTGGCTGTTAATCACACCATACTGTAATACTGAAACAATATAGCAGAGAGATAAAGAATCAAGGCACTTGAGGCCAAACCACATAGTTTCCTATCCTAGTGCTGATCGTGAATGCCTGTGTTACTTGGGACTTTGTACTTAAGTTTTCTCATCAGTTAGAATGATCTTGAGTATTCAACATAAATACTTAAAAATGATGGGTAGTGTATAGTAAATGCTTGAAAAATGTTAGTGGTTATTGCTATTACCGTTTAATGTATGTCTTCTTTGCTAGAGTATGAGGCACAGATTGTATTTATTTTTACACTGCTCTGTCCGAAGCTCTCAGCACAGTAATAGATGCCCAGTAAGCATTTGTTGAATGAGTGAATGAAAATAGTATGACTAAAGTATGTATAAAGTATATAAAGGAGTCAACACAATGCCTGGCATAAAGTAGACACAAAGCAAATGTTGGTGCTGTATAGTGACTAAGAATTGAAGCCCTGCCACTCACTGGGTGGCTTTAAGTAAATTACCTTCTCTAACCTCCTGTGTCTTCATGGGGTAGTACTAAGGTTTAAATCAGATAATTCTTGTAGGGTGCCAAGAGTGATTGGAACATGGTAAGTATTTGATGTATGTCAGACATTATTAGTTCACTTTTTTCTACAATTCAAGATTATGTACTTGTAGCTTGTAGCAAAATTCTTAAGGAGACAGATCCTTAAATCAGCATCAATAATATCCTCTAAAGCCTCTTATAACCTAGGACATTGGACATTCCAGGATGTCACATCCATCACATCCTATTGAATGCTCTTCCTTTGAATGCATAATACTCATTCACCATGAGTTTATTTATTGAGTGTAGACCATGTGCCTTGTTCAGAGCAAGGTTCGGAGAACACAACAGTGAAAACACAGTCACAGTTGTTCCCAGAGTGTGTGAATTGCTAGGCAAGACAGGAATCAAGCATGCAATTAGTATGAGTTAGAAAATGCACAATAGGAAAAGTAGAGGGTACCATGGGTAGACATTTCAACACAGGTTTATTCGAAAGGAGCAATAAGACAAATGCCAAAATTTAGCATAGATATATGGCATAATGTAAGACAAAAATGAAAGGCCATAAATTTTGGTTAGTATAACTCTGGCAAATGACTCCTCCAATCAAAAAAAAATTTTTTTACACAAACTTTCAGTTATAAAATAATTAAGTCATGGGATGTAATGTACAGCATGGTGACCATAGTTAATAATACTGTATTGTGTATTTGAATGTTGCTAGGAGAGTAGATCTTAAAAGTTCTCATCACAAGAAGAAAAATTGTAACTATGTGAGTGATGGATGTTAAGTAGATTTATTGTGGTAATCATTTTGCAGTATATACAAATATTGAGTCATTATGTTGTACATCTGAAACTAATATAATATATGTCAATTATATCTCAACAACAAAAAATAAACTCCTTTTGTATGAGTACAAATTGAAAACCTCATGTGTGTGTGTGTATATATACATAGACATGATTCATCCTGTTGAAACAAAATAATTCAGATTGCTTTTAAATTTTACATTGTTGTCCCTCATGTATGAATTGTCTCAAGTACTAGACAATTTAAGAGAAGTAGATTTTATAGCAAGATAAAGATTGCCTGTGAATTGAAGAAATGGGACTCATAGGGCTGGAAGAGCGTTGAGTTTTATTCAAAATTGTTTGTAGTATTTGTGTTGCAATGTACAATAGTTCCTCAATTGGTGCTATGTTGATTTTGTCCATTAAACTATGTTTGCAGGGTGGGTATGTTTTAATTCATGTAGCTTGTGATGTAGCCCTGTGTATCCACAATGCTAAGTTATGGCATGTGGTTATTTATAAAAAGGCATGTTCTCTCAGAGATCTCAAAGTCAGGGTCTGAATCCAAGGTGAAGTCATAGACTTGGAGGGTGGGCTATTGATCGTCTATAAATGCCTAACCTTGCTTCCTGACGTCCTAATTATTAGTGCCTCTGTGGGACTGAGGATGATATTATCATTTACCGCCCCCTCAACAATTGAGTTAGCCTTTCACAGTTGTATTTCTTTTCTGCCTTTCCCTGTTAATCATTACAGGCGTCTTTACTCACATCATATGCAGGCAGCAAATTCATGATATACGTGGCAAAACATGTAGTATTGTTTCACTTTCAATGGTTTTCTGATGTCACAAATAATTTTTGAACAGATACCAAGTCTCCTAATTACTGGTATGATTTTAAATACTCTGTTTTGTCCCTATAACGTCTGGGGTTGGTAAACTATTATTTATAAAACATCTCAGAATACAAAGTAATTTTTGAAAGGTGTTTTATCTGAAAAATGCCACTTTACTGATGTGTTTTCATATAAACTGGGTATCTCATAGGAGAGGAGTAGCAATAGCTTTGTATATGGCTCTCTTTATGTTTTCAGGTTCTGACAGCTGTATTTTAAGACATTAAGACTGTTGTGACACATGCTTACTGATGAAAGGAAAAATCACAGTCAGTTGGTAAAAAGACTGCTGGTGGCTCCCACATTCAGGAACGACAGGACACACACACACAAAATCTTCCAGATGATGCTCTATTGTGTTTGAAGATGTGGTCCATCGCTCCCTTTCTGGGAAGGCTTTAATTGGTTTGATTTCTAACCCACCAGCTCTGTAGTTTAGAATAACTACAGGGCACGCTGTTGCCCTATTTTTTCCTCCATTTTTCCTCCTTTTTCTCTTAGTAAAACCTACAGACAACCTTAGCTTTTCCTATGATCATTCCCAGGTTCAGACTCTGGGGGTTTAAAGATGGAGTGATCTCAGTAAGGGAGGACGGAGAGCGCTAGGACTGGCCCTCCTTTCATTTCCTCTGAAGCCAAAGTTTTCTGGAATTCAGGACATGATGAAAGACATCTGTGTCCAGGCTTTTATCTACGAGGACTGATGAGCTTCAGAGGAAAAGATTGTCCAAGTATTTACGAGTTTATCCCACTGTGCCAGTGGCTCGCTGACTTCCAGGTGTGTTTACGATCAATAAGGAGCATTTGAAAATGCGAACAGGAGTGACCGCATGTGACTTGGCCAAATCAGAGAAGGGCCGTGCCTTGAAAAGCAGCAGTGCGGAATTTAAAAAGACAAAGGCCCTTCACAAAACGGTAGTCCCCTGACATCTGCAGTAGAGGCTTTAGCAGGACTGTTATATTCATCTAAGCTTCCCATTCAGTGGAGTTAAGCAGAGAAAAATCAGTCAAGTCCTTCTGTCTCTCCATCACTGATTATAATGAGAGGTCAGGTCTGCATCTAGTTTTTAGAAAAGACACATCCTAAGACTTTAATTCAAAATAAATTCATCCTAAATAGTGTCGTAATTTGAAGCAAATACAAGTTGACAGGCACTTAAAAATGAGATTCAGGGGCCGGCCCTGTGGCCCAGTGGTTTAGGATCGGCACGCTCCACTTCAATGGCCTGGGCTCAGTTCCCGGGTGCAGACTTACATTACTCATTGGTGGCCGTGCTGTGGCCTCATACAAAATACAAAATAGATACAAAATAGAGGAAGGTTGGCACAGATGTTGGCTCAGGGCAAATCTTCCTCAGCAAAAAAAAGAGAGAGAGAGAGAGCGATTCATATTTCATAGGAAAAGCTAGAATAAATCAGTGATCCCAAGACTTTTGTTCTTGTGCCCCTAAAACTGAATATGTATACAAATTTAAATTAAATTTTATTTCCTGCGGCCATAATGCTCTTAAGTGTTCTAAAAAACCTGTTTTCTTCTATATTGAATTGTGCTTACAATTATTAGTTGTATACATTTGACTGAAATCAAGCTAATTATGATATAAATATGTTAAACATTTTGATTATTAAATATAAAAAGTGAAAATGTATTGAAAATAACTCTCTGAATGAGATGAATGGGGACTTTTTCAGATACTTGTGAGTTCATGGGTGAATATTACTTATTGCAAGAGCAAAGCAAAATTCAATATCAATTCTATACCTGTTTTCCTTTTTGATAAATGTAAATATAAGAAATCTTGCTACAAAATATGCAGATGGGAATGGAAGGATTTTTTTAGAGTGATGCTGGTCAATTATTTGAACTCCTTATTGGTCATATGTCAAAAATCACATGGTCTTCTATTTCCAAAAAGTGTGTTTAGTGGTCTATAAGCTATCAATGGCGTCACATTTCTTCTTCACTTTTACTGAAAGCAGAGAATTGACAGCTACCTACTTTGAAAAAGATTTGTTGCACAGTTTTCTGAATCTGTCCCTTTCTCAGTTTCTGTGGAGTATTCCAGAAAAGGCTTCACCAATGCTTGGCAAAATACTTCTCATTACGTGAGTTGTTCTACTTAGTGGCACTTTGTTTAATCTGGTATATGCAGAATGGGGTGGAAAATGGAACTATCATTCATTTTATTTCACCTTTGTTAGTGTAATCTTTTTTGAGTACTTTTATCATATGCTTTAAGTATCTCTTTAATTAGCTCATTTAATTTATGGGAAATACCTACTAGATAATTTACTGGCGTAGCTAGTACTCATTAAAATCAAGCTTACTTTCCATCAGAAAAAGTCTGACTTATTTTTTCCGTTGGAATGAATTAATATACATTTTGTCACAACAATCTCAGTTCTGAATTCCTAACTGCAGGTAGATGGCAGAGAGATAGATAAAGCACAAATCCTTGCCATGGGTTTGACAATGAGATTAAATAAGGCGTCACTGCCTTTAAGATTTCTTACCATGTTGATATTCTCTTTGCAATCACAAGACTCTTTGGCAGGTAAAAAGCAATTTTTGACAGTGGTTGGGGTGGGTGATGAGGGCATTAAACAAAAGTATTCTTCCTCCCCCTTGATAGGTCAGATTTCAAAACCTGCCAACAGTCTTAAATACTTTACTTCTTAACTCCATACTTGGTCCTTGGTAGAATTACCTCAAAGACACTACCTAGGGTTTATGGTGTCTTGAATAAAACAGGCTTCATCAACAAAAATACTTTGAATTTTGCCCTTTTTTGACACACTGGAAGCTTTATGCTCCAAGACAGTGGGTCACAGTAAGATTCTGCACTTACAATAGGTAAGCCCTTCTGTTATAAAGAAAGTCTACACGTGGAAATTGTTGAGGTTCTAGACGTTAATTCCCTTGAAACAGTCTACCTCTTTCCTAACTGAAAAGTCTTCATGTGCCCTAGGGGATAGGACTCCTCTTTTTGAAGACTCCTGGACTAAATGACCTCCTGGGCACTTGAACTCTGACGGTCTATGATGTTATGATTAGTTGGGCTTTTTTGTTACAGAGAGACAAGAAAACAGTTATTACACTATCACACAATGTCCTGTTCAAACACGTTTGGTCAACTGTGGTTCTTTTGCTTTACAAATGAAAGAACATCTCTCTGAAAAAGAGCCACTTGTTACATTAGCTGTGGGACTAGTTGGATAAGTGGATACACTTATTGACACAATAGTGGATACACTTATCATTTCAGTGAGAAAGATTTTAACTCCTCAAAATCAGTATATGGAGAAAGCGACACCACAAAACCTGAAACCTTAGAAGTCAGAACTCGATCACTATTTCCAAAACTAAGGCTCTTGGGCAAAGGTGATGTTTTGGAAAAAAATTCTGGCATTAGCACCAGTTTATGCTTTCCAACTCTCAAAGCACAGGTATGCTATTAAAGCTGCTAGAAACCATTTATAGCAGCAATAGATAAGATCAACACCAGAGAGTAGATTAAATCATGGATACTAACAGTAGAACTTGTTAATAACAATAAAGTATAATAGCCTTAGAAATGTATGAACTTGATGAATGAGTCTAAATATGAGTCATTTCTGTATTTAAATATGATAGGTGTACTAACAGATCTTAGTGAGAAAAAGGACTGCTAATTTATTCAGTATTTTAAAAATAGTTTCTTGTAGAAGTCAACCAGAAGAGAAAAACTTAAGAATTTATTATAAATTATAACACAGAGAATATTATAATATCCGTGGCAGTTTTTATTTTATACACACACAACAGAGGAACAAGTAAGTGCTTTTGTGGCATTGAAATACAATTTATCCATATTAAGCCTACATCGTGTCTATTTTTAAAAGTTTTTATTTTATAAAAACTGGTCCTTCCTTCCTAGTAAAAATAAATTTATGTCCTAAAATTGAAAGCTAAGCAGATTCTCTAAGGTGGTTCAATGGGTTAATATATATGATTTTATATGAAATAGACAAATTTAAAACTTAGTAATTTAAAATAATACTTTTAAAAACGACAAAGATTATACTGATGATTATATAAAACACGTTGTTTGGGGGCCGGCCCTGTAGCATAGCGGTTAAGTTCTCATATCCCACTTTGGCAGTCTGGAGTTCACCAGTTCAGATCCTGGGCGTGGACCTATGCACCACTTGTCAAGCCATGCTGTGGCAGGCGTCCCACATATAAAGTGGAGGAAGATGGGCATGGATGTTAGCTCAGGGCCAGTCTTCTTCAGCAGAAAGAGGAGGATTGGCAGCAGATGTTAGCTCAGGGCTAATTTTCCTCAAAATAAAAAAAAAGCACATCATTGTTTTGGAATTAGGCAGACCTAGATTTGAATCTTGACCCTACCACTCACTTTGGGCACGTAATTTACTTCTCCGAGCTTTAGTTTCCTCATCTCCAAATAATATTGACCTCACAGAATTGTTTTGAAGTTTAACACAGATAATATAGGTGAAACTACCTGGCCTGTCATAGGTTCTCAGTGAAAGTTAGTTTCATTTCTCTTTTTCACCTTCTTTAACCTTTACAGTGACAGGTAATTGATGACGTGTAGGTGCCTGTGCAGAGGCATGCAAAAGGAAAAGTAGAAGTTGGTCTCAGGTATTTAAAATTTTTCTATGAATGAAGAAAGACGTCTGGTTAGATCAGAAGCAAAAATAATCCCTGGGTGGTAGGATTATGTTTTTTATCTTTTTATTTAAATATATGTTCTAATTTTGCTAAAATGAATATGCATTACTATCATAAAATAAATATTTAAAATTTTAATGAATGATGCACAGTTTATGAGTTGATACATGAAAAATTACAATGATTAGTATAACCCAATTTTGAACTTTTATTCCCCAGAGCATTTTATATTACTGAATTAGCTCAAGAAAAATAGACCTGATAGCTGAAGGGTTGTTAACTGCCTTGATTATGGTTATCAGGGAAAAAAAAGAGAGGCAGAGGGATTGTAAATAATGTATTTTTGTCAAGCTTTCTTGTACAGCCTCTTCCTGCCTCATACCTGGGTGATTGCATCTGTATCCTAACTCGTCTCTCCACTTCTAGGCTTCCCACACTACTGCGCTTTAATGTCCTTGAAATAATGACGTCATTTCCCCTATATCCTTGATCAGAATCTTTCCTGGGTCTCCATTTAGCCATAGCCGTCCTTTGCAACTAATGGTACATGTGTCATTGTAGGATGCCGCGGTCCAAGTAGACAACAATCTCAATGTTTACTAGTAACATACTCTGCCTCAAACTTCACTTTTCCATAGGTGTGAATTTGTTGTGAATCACTCTAGACCCTAATGGCCATAACCTGGTTATCTGCCATACTTATCTGTGATCGCAAGGCATATTCCTTAGTAATCTTGAATTGTTTGTCCTGATACACACACACATACACACACAGCTGAGGAACAGTTAAATGCCTGTGTGGCATTGAAATACAATTTACTCATAGCAAGTCTACTTCAAGTAGCTGTTTTTTAAGAATGCCATAAATTATATGCATAGTAACATAATACTAATAAATATATATATCTTCAGGAAGAAGGATGGAATAATGCTCTTTGTAGAGTTGAAAATACAAAATATGAAAAAGTCACTAACGTGAAGTTTGAAGACCAAGTTTTTCAGCTTGGCATTCAAGTCTTTCCACAAACAGCTATCATTCTCCTTTCCAACCTTGTCTCCCGTTACTCCCATGACAGGCCCGTGAATGTCTTCCATTCATTCACTGCCTCCTGAGAGCCAAGCTTTTTACGTGTGATGCCTCGTGTAATCCTTAGGGTAGTCCTGTGATTGCGTTATTACTATCCCCATTTTACAGATGAGGTTTAGGATCAGAGGTTTAATATATTCCTTCAGGTCACACAGCTAGTTAGTGACAGAGCCAGGATTCAGATCTTGGTTTGTCTGACTCCAAACCCAGTTTTCTTAACTGCTTTTCTGGCCAGATGGATCCCTCTGCTCACCATCACCCTAACACATGTCCAGCTCCATTACCGTGTTTTTAATCATGATGTTTACCCAGCTCAGAAACCTCACCCTACCTGTCCATCCAAGTTCACCTCAGAACTTCCCTCTTCTGTGAAGTCTTTCAACCTCCAGCTGCAGTAACGTCACCTTCCTCTGACCCTTGACCTTCTGTTGCTTTAGATTGTCATCTAATTTGTTAGTTTGTAGGTGTTGTCTTCCCAGTCAAGTAATTAATTGCTTGATAGCAGAAGTCGTGGAAGCCAGAGTAGATAATCTCTAAGGTTCTATTCTTTGGTTTATATTTCGTCTTATCACGTGCAGTTCTGTGTCCCTAGTAAACGCTCAAAAATGAACTCAATGTTAAATTAATACCTCTTCGTAGATAGAAGGTGCTCTCCTCTGACATTAAAATAAATTGTTCACACCTCTCTGATTTGAAATTAAGTCCTCTAAATTTTGAATTAACAGCTTCTCTAGAGGCTATTATATCATATTATGTGATATATGAATTAATATTCAGATTAATGTCTAAAAAAACAAACTTAGTGGTAAGTCAACTTTCCGAGTTTAAAAAGATTGAATTGATAGAGGGTAATTTGTCTCAGTTTCATGCCGTTCCTAAGCCTTCATGGACCCTTTCTAAATAAGAGACAAAGTGGTTTTATGTCCGTTTAAGGCAAATTATAAAACCTCCTTTGTCACTAACCCCCTCAAAATAACTGAGAAGCAGCCTTAACAAAGAGGGAAGGAGGGGAACACCATTACAAAAAAGAGGAGTCTTGGATTGTTTCCTAAAACCAGGCCTCGCACAGAGAGAGGAGATGGTCTCTAAGAGGTGGCAGAGATCCGGGGAGCAGAGTCTCTGTTGCTGCAGGTCGAAGCTGGTTGAGGGGGCTCATACACGTGTACCTGCTAAGGCTGAAAGTGAATTTGAGATGAGGGTCAAAAAGGAGAAGTTGTGGCAGCCTACATCAAAAACTTTGTGAGAATTTATACTTCCCCCTCCTTCCCTTGCCCTCATAATGTCCCCACTTCCCCTTCTCTGCCTCCCTTCCAGCATCTGATTTTTCGTTCATCCTAATATGTAGTTTAGAGGGAACTACATGAATCAGTGCCATTGATTGGTTTTGTGGTTTGCGTAAGGATTGATTGGGAAATTTCCATAATCCATTCTGCCTTAATTTACACTTTTGCAGTGTTTCTGTATGTTTAGAATGACTGATAAGTACCGGACTTTGTCTCTCCCAAGAAATAACAAGACATATAATTTGTAAGATAATTATGTGTCAAGTGATCAAGAAAGACTGTAGGTGTGAAAACAGTTTCAGTAATTGGCATACCTAAGGAAACTCAAAGAGTTTTGACTTAAGTATCCTAAAGAATGTGCTAAATCAGAATTCGTTGAACAACAATATCTAACAAAAAAGCTTTTCAAGTGAGCGTTGGATGAGAGCATTTCGCTTTTCAGGAGATGCAATGTCTAAGCATTTGGTGAAAAGAACTTTTTGAAAGGAAAGCTGTTTTGTTTTTTGGTTTTGTTTTGTTTTTTTAATTTTTTGTTCTTCTTCAATGGATCTCTTACATTCAGGAAAATTAGGTGGATTTACACAAGAAAATAACACCATAGATTCCGGAGAACTTGATATCGGCCGAAGAGCAATTCAAGAGGTTCCTCCTGGGATCTTCTGGAGATCACAGCTCTTTATTGATCAGCCACAGTTTCTTAAATTCAATATCTCTCTTCAGAAGGATGCATTGATTGGAGTATATGGCCGAAAAGGCTTACCACCTTCCCATACACAGGTAAAAGTGGGCTTTGTTGTCAATAAAATGAAAAACTGCTAGTTTGCATCTTTAAAGTTATTCTGTTTCTTAACTTCAGCTGTTTAACTGTTTGACCAATTTTCTATTGATCTTTTTACAGTGAAAACAATTTTGAATGTAGGTTACACTTATCTTGAGGTTTTTGAGTGAGTAGGAAGAACAGCATTTTCTTCCCAAGTTGCTTTAAGCGTTATTGATTGATTGAAATGTACTAAAATTTGTGAGTAACCTAATGAATATTGAACATCATCTGAGCACCTTGTAAAACACCGTGGGTTTTCAAGTGTTTTGCAAAGATTCTATAATAATTTCAGATGATCTTATTCCTTTTATGTAATAGATGCATAACATTTTCATCTCAAACATGTATTCATTCTGTTGAAAATGTGTTATGTATTTTTTTACTTGATGCCAGATTTACCCAGTAAAGAAATTATGGGGACATAAACATAAATATGGTGATAGGAACTTTATCAACTCGAGCCACGATTCCTCATCTACAAATGATGAACACTGAAATAAAAAGGCAGAGTTTTCATGGAAAGCCAAGGATGATCCCATTAGTGTGGTACTCAAAACAATTCAAATATCCTTATATTATAGATTCAAAGAACTTTAAAGTCAGTTCGCTTGCATGAAAATCACCTCACAATAACAGTCACAGATAGAGAGCCACTATCACTAATTCCACAGGCCTTTTCATAATCTAATAGTGGGTCATGGTGTATAAATAGGAAATTGTGATTTACAAGAAGTCCCATCATGTCTAAGAGAAATTATTTAAATTACCTACCATAAAATTGGAGCTCAGACTTTTCCCAAGATCAACTATTATATTAGTAAATACAGAAATTCAAAAAATGTGATAGATGCTTAATTAAAGTTGACAATTGGATGAGCTTAAGTTGTACTTGATAATCAGTTTACTTACCCATGGAGTTTCATGCTGATTTTAATTTCATTGGTAAAATGAGAACTGGAGGATTTTCATGTATGCTTTTTTTATATTATGTAATTTTGTGAGAAATGCTTTTTCCATAACCTAAGAATATAAATTATAAAGAAAAGATGATCATATACTAATAAAAGATTATCTTTAAAGAAAGATGAGTAAAAAAATTTGAACATGCTTTTTCTAATGTCATTGTGGATCAGGGAAGATTTCGTATTATAAATTATATATCCATGAAATGTTTGAATATCATGCCTTGGTGTATTCATTTTTTTGATTTAACATTTTTCATATCTAAATTATTAAATATGTTTAATTCTTATATATCAAATACTTTTTCTTGTGTACTAGCATCCAATTTTAAATTTTAGATTACAGTTGCATTTGACTCCAGGTCATGTTTTAGGTGATGCTGACTAGGATATAATAACCAGATTCTCTTAAATGGAAGTGGGTTTCTGTAACTGCAATTATAGCAGATAGAACTGCATTTATAGCAATAGTCCAGTGAAATAGGAAAAAATATTTTTCCATTGGAACCACTTATATGATTAAATTATTTTTGTGTAACTCAAGAAATATACCTCTAAGCTAAGCACAATAGTGAGCATGTAACCTTTAAAGTAAATTCCAAAAAATAGTTTCAGAAAAAAATTGTCTAATGTGTTATATACTTTAAAGGTTTATTTAAAGATTTAGAATTGACTCTTTGCAAGTTATATATACTATATAAGATTAGGGAAATTAAAGGTGTAGTTCCAGGTTTTCTCATAATTCTTCTGGTATTTACACACAATATACGTGATATCCACTTTTCTTTTCTGCCACAGTATATGTGTTTAAGTAGGTTACGCATTTTCTTAAGCTCCACAGTTATTAGAGTTCCTTAGTCTGGTTGATTCAAGATCAGCAGAGCAAACAACTGTTTCTGAGTTCAGTGTTTAAACATGAAATATGCTATAAAGCAGCCCAAATTGAACATTTCTCTGTTTCTGGGGAATGTTAAATAAATCAACCTGAAATAATTAAAGTTGGCCAGACATTCAGAATAGTCACTTGAGTTTTGAAAGTCTTTGTGACCCTTTATAAAACTGTCCGTTTGACTGTTGCCAAGAAATCAATTGACTTTCTTCTCCCTGATGCCCAATTCATTCTCCTGGACAGTTAGAAGCCTAAGGAAGCAATTTAACGCTCTACAGTTAATAGTGTACTGTATCATTTAAGCGCATTTGCATGAAGGCTGTTTGAGAAGGGGAGTTGAAACTTGGGTTCTAAGCACACACCCCTACCTCTTTTTAACCTTGTGACCTTGAACAAATCACTTAACTTCTCTAAACCTCAGTGTCTATCTGTTAAATGAAAGAGTTGGATCAGATGATCTATAAAATTTCTTCCTCCTCTATATTCCAATGATACACAGCGAGATGATGCCACCACCAAAAAGTTGATTTAAGAAAACAGTTCGGTGTTCAGAGATTCTGAGTTCTCATCATCGTAATATCTAAATTGAGTTAAGCTTGTGGATAGTCTCCCTGTTCAGAAATGAACCACCAAGATACCTTTATCAAGTATAACCTTTGTCTCATGATAGCTTCCCCAAAGTGGTGAGACTGAATTTCGTCCTAAAAATAGCATGAGATCCTGAGGCTGGCTCCCACAGGGAATCCATGTCTCCATCTTATGATTAGGTATTACAGAGCAAGACTCAAGTTTGCCTGTAAGTGATTACTTTACATCCTATGAACAAAGGTTATTAAATATTTCTATTCCATATCATTTGTTTACTTTTCATAGAGATGGTTTTAGCATTAAATAGGGAACTTGTCTTTAAGTATTTGAATAACCCTCCTGAAGTCGTGCATGAAATGCCCCTACAGAAGAGCCTAGAACTGGGTAAAGACTCAACAACTGTCAGCTACTCCCCTCCACCACGATCATGCTGACCACTCCAGCCTTATTTTATTGTTCATAGTGTGATGCAAGGGGTGATTTCTGTGATAAAGGTATGATTATGAGTATGGGCTTGAAAGACCACTTAAAACCCCAAATTTCCTCCGTTTTCGATTTATCAGTTACTGTGTTTAATGTTAGAGAAGAAAAATGTTTATATGAAATAGGACCATAAAAAGAAACTTTTTCTTGTCTCTTTACCATGCTAATATAAATATTTAAATCTGATGAGAAAATTAATGGCTTATTTGAGAATGAGGCACCTTTCAAAAGTGCTGAATTAATTTTCCTCTGATAATTTTGGAAAACAAGTCCAGTGAATTTGTGTGTGTGTGTGTGAGGAAGATTCACTCAGAGCTAACATCTGTTGCCAATCTTCCTCTTTTTTTCCTTGAGGAAGATTAGACCTGAGCTAACATCTGTGCCAATCTTCCTCTATCTTGTATGTGGGTCGCCCCCACAGCCTGGCTTGATGAGTGATGTGTAGGTCCACACCCTGGATCTGAACCTGCAAACCCGGGCCACCGAAGCAGAGTGCAGCGGACTTAACCACTATGCCATGGGGCCAGCCCCACCAGTGAAATATTTGCGGATTAAATATCCACGCCAGTCATTATTTTCATCCTTGTAAGATATAAATGAAAAAAATTTTTGAATGCTAATCAAGTTAAAGCAATTGTGTGTATTTCTCTCAGCTGAGTGATGTTATAATGCAGTTTTGCTACACAAAAAATGCTTTAATATTTAAATAAAAATTTTAATGTGTTGGAAACTGAATTAGATATTCTAAATTCTGTCCAGTAGTAACAGTAGAGGTCTGTGATCAGTACAGTGGCAACGAATTTAACTATGATTCTCAGAATCCCAACAACACCTTTTATTCCAATTTGACTGTGTTAAGGGATTCCTATGATAAACTTTTCCTTAAATAGACCCCAATGAAATTCCATTTAAGGAATCTATTAGAAAGTAGAATATTGATGATTCACACATATAGTGCGGTAACCTTAATGATTAGTATATAGAGTACTGTAGTATACTTTCACCATAAACACACGCCTCAGGAGTAAAACAAAACTGGGTAAGAGCTTGTAGAAACTGAATTACTCTACTTTTAAGAAACTGTCATCTAACAAGTTTATTAAAACTACATTAGGGGGCTGGCCCAGTGGCATAGTGGTTAAGCTCACATGCTCTGCTTCGGCGGCCCAGGGCTCGCAAATTCAGATCCTGGGCACACACCTACAGACTGTTCATCAAGCCATGCTGTGGCAGGCATCCCACATACAAAATAGAGGAAGGTGGGTACAGATGTTAGCTCAGTGTCAATCTTCCTCAGCAAAAAACAAAAAACAAAAAACAAAACCCTACATTGTAAAGTCTTGGCAGTGTCTTTCAAATTCACTGCATTATCTCTAGTTACAAAATTTTACCCCACTATTACCAATCACGTTCCATAGTTTTAATTGTCTTTAAATTCTCCAGTTAAATCTTTTAGCTACCCAATGTTCCAAATTAATCTTACTAAAACAAAAATTGAGTTTAATGATGACTGAGTTCATAATAATAATTGGGCATATTTACATTTGCTGCCATCCCTTCAGAACACTTCCACTGTTTAATTTTTTGACTTTGATTAAAGATGTGAAGGCATCTTGTTATATGTTTTTAATCTAACCATAGCTAAGTGAAAAACCCATGGAGTTTTCCGTGGTGCTTGGGGTGGTTACACCAGGGTCACAGAGAGGGTAGCGTGGAGTGGTGGAAACAGCCTGAACTCTGGAGCACAGCACCCTTGAGTTCGCATACCAGCTGCCTCAATTCCCAGATGTCTACCCTGCCCGAGCTCCTCCATTTCCTTCATCTTTGAAGTGTAGATATCATTGCCTTTCTAGAATAGTTGCTGTGAGGATCAGAAATAATCCTGGCACAGAGTAAGTATTCAAGAGTGGTTGTTACCACTTGAGAATTCAAGGAGAAGACCTTAAGACTTGATTTTCTAGTGGTGTAACTGAAATAAGGCTGCTGGGTTTGGAATGTTATAGATTTGTGTTTATATCCCCAAGCTGCCTACACTCATCAAACTTTCCATCAGTCATAAGAATTAAACAGATTTGGAAAACATGTTGCCCAGTCAGGGAACACATGATCTGTGGCGTTTAGATACAACAGTGGGGCGCCGTGGGTAGTTTTCATGCTATGCAGAGAAGAGCTGTGAGTCAGGAACTGTTTTCTGACCATTCGTTTATTAGAGCAAAGGAGAAAAGTTGGTAAAAGAAAAGAGAGAAGCAGCCACAACGGTGATATTTCTGCCTACTAAGCCATTTCACTTGTCCTCATCCTCAGTACGACTTTGTCGAGCTCCTGGATGGCAGCAGGTTGATTGCGCGAGAGCAGCGGAACCTGCTGGAGTCGGAAAGAGCAGGACGACAGGCGCGATCCGTCAGTCTCCACGAGGCTGGCTTTATCCAGTACTTGGATTCCGGGATCTGGCATCTGGCTTTTTATAATGATGGGAAAAATGCGGAACAGGTGTCTTTTAATACCATTGTTATAGGTAAGAACGGTCTTCAAAGCATATTTTCCAGGCTGCAGCCTAAACGCTGTGTTGAATAGAAACTAAATTATCTTCACCAACTTTGAATGACTCCTAGGGTGTTAGAGCCTGAGGGAAAATGGGAGAGATATTTTTAAATTGTTTATTCATAAATATGTGACAAACTATGAAAACCAGGAAGCACTGGGAGAAAATATGATTTGGGATTTATCTTGGAGGAGGATGGTGCATCGTGAAACACTTAAAAAATCTGCATTTGAAGTGGCAATGCTTTGCTTTATTGTTTGAAAGATCTAGTCTAAGTGAGTCCTTTTTTGGTTATGGAGCAAGCCATCCATGCCTCCTTCAACATGTGGCTACATGATGGGAACGTTAACCTTGTGCAAGAGGCAGGCTCTGCAACAAGTCTTCCTTCTTTCTCTATTCTTCAGACTCTGTGGTGGAATGCCCCCGAAATTGCCATGGAAATGGAGAGTGTGTTTCTGGAACTTGCCATTGTTTTCCAGGATTTCTAGGTCCAGATTGTTCAAGAGGTATGCCAGTTAGATGCTTTTCTTAAGCCAATATGAATAAGCTGTAGGAACACGAGTAATTCAGAAAACTACCAAGACAGGAAAGAAAGGAGGGGAACTGGCCTACTGCTTGTTCCAGCGATGTCTCTTTTCTTTCAGGATCTTGATGGGAAATGTGGCTGTTAATTCTTCTGTCGTGTTTTATTTCACAGCAGCCTGTCCAGTGTTGTGTAGTGGCAACGGGCAGTACTCCAAGGGCCGCTGCCTCTGTTTCAGCGGCTGGAAGGGCACCGAGTGTGACGTGCCGACTACCCAGTGTATTGACCCACTGTGCGGGGGTCGTGGGATTTGTATCATGGGCTCTTGTGCTTGCAACTCAGGATACAAAGGAGAAAATTGTGAAGAAGGTAAACATGTCAATATTTACCGAAGCCTCTTGTTATCCTCATAAAGAAACAGATTATGTTTGTAATCTTTAGTTTGGCAGATGAATCTTTTATATGCTTCCTTATGAAAGTAATTTTGATTTCCATATTTATGGATGCACTGCTCTATTGACATTTTAACTGACACAAGGGTCAAAGACCAAAGAGCCCCTTTGCTCTTTTTTGGTAGTCTGGATAATTCTCTTCTTTTTTACTCTGAGAAGCTAAGCAAACATTTGTGTTTTGAAACCAACAGTGGACAGTGGACTATTGATTTTTTTTTTACAGCCTTCCACATTGATGCCAGCTTCTAAATCTAGAATTTAGGCATCTCTAGAAAGAAAGAATATTGAACATAATATATTAGTGAAAAAAGTACGACATCATGAGTTTGTTCCAGAATTGTATATAATGAGCATAGTCAAGATGCTGTCCTGTAAAGTGCAGTTGAATTGTTTTGTCAAAAAGCAGAAATCACCATTTCTGTTCTTCAATCAAATTGATTTTATTGATCTGCCCACACAAAGTAATGCAATTAAGTTTCTGGAATTAAATTTTCAGGCCATTGACCCTACAAGTGTAAAGTTTTATTGAGTCAAATTGCTAAATTAAATCTCGTCATTTAAAGCACATTAAAGTGAATTACGAGGGATAGAGAGTATGCAACTCATTTATTTCTCAAACAGTCTGAGGGTCCCATACAGCTGTCAGTACTCAGTGGTTGTGGATTAGGTCAGCTGATAGAGATTCTGTTATAGAGAAGCCAGTACTTATCATTCTCAGATTAGGCAGAACAGAGAGCCGTAGTCTGAAATCTCAAGAGCATATGTGTGTAATTCATGAAAATTACAAATCCTTGCAAGAGTCTCATTTACCTAAATGGCATGATTCTCAATGCTTTATTGTGTAATTCTTTGTATTTTCAGTAACAAGTTCTTGAAAATGGTAGGTAAATATTTGAGTATCCAAAATGTCCATATGAATGAGATTGAGATTTAATTCTTTGTTCTGCATGTACGGTGTATGCTATCTTGTAGATTTAATCATAAAATTGCTCTCTTTTCTTTACACCAGCTGACTGTCTGGACCCTGGATGTTCTAATCATGGTGTGTGCATCCATGGAGAATGTCACTGCAGTCCAGGATGGGGTGGCAACAATTGCGAAATACTGAAGACCATGTGTCCAGACCAATGCTCTGGTCATGGAACATATCTTCAAGAAAGTGGATCCTGCACTTGTGACCCTAATTGGACTGGCCCAGACTGTTCGAATGGTGAGGTCAATAAAGGCAGTGCAATTGAGTGCTTGATATTGTTGAGCTAAAGATTAAGAGATTTTGTTTTTTAAAGCACACGTTAAATTTAATATAGATTTTATTAAAGTGATTATAAGTATTAAAAGTCATGAAATTTAGTTGTCTTAAAAAAATGAAAGAAACAAGACTTGGGCAATCTTGTCATTAAAATTTCTCCTTTAGTGTTATTGTAAAGAATAAAATTTTGTTTGTGTCAAAACTCTGTCTTCTTAACTCTCAAGGCCTGTGTACAGCTTGGGAATTTAAGCACATTATCTCATAAGCAGAGAAGCCTCAGTTAAAAAATTATTTGACAACATAAAGCTAAACATGATCACAATAAAGAGTATACATTTATAGATATTATGTGTATAATGGTTCAACACTGAGTTTCTAATTATAATAATATGATTATAATAGAACCAGCAAGTAGTAGTTTTATTCAGTCAGTCAAGTTGTTATTGAGCACCATCTCTGTGCATGGCATTGTGATAGGCCCTATAGGAATAAAAGCATAATGAATTATTCCTGCCCTCTAGAATAGTGGCTTTCAAATTTCTTGACCATGACCTACAGTCTTAAATACATTTTTACATTGTGACCTGGTGTCCATAACATGCATATGTCACATAGTTGAAACAAAAGCTTTACAAAGCGATACACACTGATACTTCTGTTGGAGTCTGTTCTATTTTTTTTAATGCTGGTTGCAACTCATGAATTAATTCCATGACCTACTCATTAGTCACACAGTTTGCAAAGATACTGTTCTAGTCTCAAAGATTACAGTTCAATTGAGAAGATAAGGTAAACACTCATGAAATACTTAGAAACCAGTACATTCCGTTTTGACATTTTATTGAGTGTTACATGGAATAATACACTAAATTCGATTGACGCTGGGAGGAGTGACCCTGCCTTGATGCATATTAAAAGTTTTCAAGGAGACTTTTATTAACATTTCTTGCCTTCTATTAGAGATTGCAGTTAGTGTTGGTGGGGGGGAACATTTTTTGACTAGGGGAACAGTATTAGAAAGTACGTAAGAGCATGGACTCTGAAATCAGATTCTTGGGTTCATATCCAGTCTCTCCTACTTAATAGCTCAGTAGCCTTAGGCAAATTACTGTATACGTCAGTTTACTCATCTATAAAATGGATTTCATCATTAGACATTCTTCACAGAGATGTTGTGGGAATTGCTTGACTTGATGCATATGATGTACTAAGTACAATGCCTAGCCCAAAATAAATCCTAAATATAGCTGCCACCACCACCACCACTACGATTAGCAAAAATTCAACTATGAGAATATCATTGTATACATAGGACAGTGAAGAAAAACTATTTAGAGGTAAAAATTGGGTTGGGCCCAATTATGGGGGACACAGTTTAGAAATGGTGGTTTAGACAATGGAGAATTCACTCATAATAATGATGTGCCCACTAATATGATGAGAATAGTATTCTTGGAGAACTGTCCTATCGATTATATGTCAGAGCGTGACCAGCGAGACTGACGGCTGGAAGGCAGTGGAGAGCTTTCCCAGAAGTGTCAAGTGATGAGAACGTGAATTAGTTTGGAGTTAGCAGAAATGAAAAGGATGAACCTGAAGGACATTTTCAAGGAAACATAGACAGGACTTGCTGAAAAACAGAATATAGAAGTTGTCGAGAAGAGCTGAAAGTCTGGAACAAGGGAGAGAGGGATTCGTGTGAATGTGTCTGAATGAGGCATGGTAGCTGGGGAGACGTGAAGCTCGGGGAGCAGGCGGGCTGCAGGGGAGGCGGTGGGAGGGTGAGTGTGAAATAGAGACGAGGATGAATTAGGTTTGGACGCAAACTGTCTGAGCAAAAATAATAGAAAAGAAGAATAAGAGGAGGAATAATGAGAAGAGGGAGGAAAAGAAAAAGTGGAGGAGAAGAAGAAATGGGAAGAACAGAGAGAGGAAGGAGGGGGAGAAAGGAGCAAGAAAAAGGGCACATTTTATTAGCAGTGTTGAGTAAATAAAGACATTCTGCATAAAGTCGAGATTCATGAAGGGGTCCGTCCACTCTTAATCCTGCCCACCCTGATTGATTACCCTCTTCTTTGAACCCCTTTATTTAACTGTAAGTGTTAACTTACTGGAGGGACTCTGGAGCTGATCTCCCTGGGTTCAGATCTTGGACTGGCCATTCCCTAGCTGTAGGATGTTGGGCGAGTTATGTAACTTCTCTGTGCCTCAGTTTCTGTATCTGTAAACTGGGGGTAATAATAGTATTACCTTATACAATTGTCATAGAGAGTAAATGAGTTAATGTGTAAAAAGCACTTAGAATAGTGCCTTACACATAGTAAGTACTCAGTGAGTACTAACCATTAATAGAAGTAGCCGTGGTGGTGGTCGTAACAGTTGTGGTAGTGGAATTCCAAAGGCTAGTGCAGTTTGTCCTACTTAATTCCTCAGCAATTCAGAGGAGCTTCCACATAAAAGTATTTATTGGATATGGTTCCCCAAATGTGAAATCTATGAAATGCAAATTACTTCCTCTGTTCGTATAGCCCAATGGCATAAACCTAAATGAAATCTTGCTAGGTAGCTAATTAGCATGCTTATTTTAAGAAAAAAAAAAAGACTAAGAATTTTTACAAATCAATCTTTCTTGGCATTTTGGGACACTTGAGTGATGTGCCTGCTAGATCATGTGCCATTCTTCACCTACTGCAAATTGAATCCTGGAAGCACAAACTGCAGAAAGTTTTGTATAGGCTAGTTTGTAGTATTGGTGGAAAACTTCTGTTGAACCATAAGTAGATGTCCTAGTTAAAGAGACAACTTATGAGTTTTCTTTCTTGCTTCCTTCCTCTCTCAATTCTGCTTCCTGCCTTTCCTCTTCCACCCCTCCCACCCTCCCTCCCTTCCTGCCTTTCCTCTTCCCACCCCTCCCTCCCTCCCTTCCTTCCTTCCTTGCTTCCTTCTTCCCATCCCTCCCTACTTCCTTCCTCTCTACCTCTCTCATCTTTTGGCCATACGTTTTTGGAGGCAGACAAGGTTTATAATGTCTATTACTGCTTCCTAGAAATATTAGTTGATTCAGATAGCTTGGATAACCAGAAACTTTTGTTGGAAAATGCATGACTGCTGGAGCAAATAACATGTATAGGATAAGTAAGAGTAAAAAACATAATAAATTGGAGGCTGGATTATAGAGGGCCTTTAATGTATCTCTAAAGAGATTTAGGAAATCATCACCAAGCAACCTTTATCAAGCATGGGTGTGTGGCATTATTTTAAAGAACACATTAACTTGTTTTTTCCTCCATTCTTAAAAATATATTTTATAAAATCAAAATAGGTATTTAGTTATTTCTGTTGAGTTTTTATTTACATCTTCTATAGTAAAAAGTGCATCTCAGAAAAAAATCCATTTAAAGTTTATGGATTAAACGTGTATAATTACCTGTATAGTAAACCTACTTATGCCTCCATCGGCAAAGTGGGCACAATAATACTATCTATAAAGTAATACTTGTTTGAAATGTTGTCTTTTGAATTGGTTTCCCACAATTATCCAAAGAAGAAAGGAATAGTGAAATAGCCCCTTTTTTGTTTCATATGAAGTTATTTAATACATTAACTGAATTATTTTATAAAGGATAGTTTGTAATTGATATTAAATAGCTCAAAAGATAATTCAGTCTTCATAAAATGATATTGCTATGAATAGCAAAAAAAGATAAATTTAATTAAAAGATTAAATTGGCTCCCAAAATCACATATTTATTTTACATATTTTGACAGATTTTCTTCATGCTGATGTAGTTACTTTGCTAGTTGAAAATCTAACTTTACTTGTCTGCAGAATGACTGTTTGGGCATCGTGAGCGAAGGTCTTCATGGCGTTCCTCTGCACCTCCCCGTACAAAACAGAAACCTGACATAGTAAACTCTCAGTACATGGAGTTGAATAATGAATATTGTACTCTTCTTTGGAAGAAAATAATTAAGCAGAGAAAAAACTTCATTAAACTTCGCTATTAGCTCCAAAAAGATAGAAAACTTACTTAGAATTATTAGTAAAGATCTCAAATATGCATATATTCATCTTGTGAAAATGTCTAGAATTGTGTGCCTCCCATTTATCTGCACGTTGCGTAGTTCTCAAAGTTGCAAAACATTATTGTCCATTTACATTGGTGACTTAAAGTTTACTAGCAGCATAATTCTGAATTTCTGACTAACTGAATCCGTAAAGCAAAACACTTTACCAGCCACCTCTTTTGTTGTTGCGGAATTGCCTTTCAAACGTCTAAATTCAATAAGAGAGTAGATTTTATACCTGAAGAAACATTTGGTTAAGCTGCTAAAAGAAGAAATGAATTCTTTCCATCAGAAAGTTTATAGGTTTGGAAGCAACAGAGCTTTTCTCTATCTTCATCAGCAGGTCGTCCATTAATTAGCCCTTCAATTCCACTTCAATTAAATTAACTCTAATTAATAAGTTCATTACAAAGATTGACGCACCTTGCTCAAAGCGAGTGTGCTAAATGCTGATAAACACCTTCATCCTAATGAAAAATTGATTAGATTGAATAAAAAGGGGGCCTCAGAAAGAAACCTCTCTCTTCTGGAGCTGCCTTGACGTTCCATTCCTCCGAAGTTAATCAAACCATCTTGGATCTCTTAATCAAAAATTTAATTCAAACAAGATAGAAAATGTGGCCTGAAAAAGCACATACCACTCTCTCCCAGTGAATAGTCCCAGCTCTTGTTTGTAAGAAATGTTACAACAATAGGGCCTTGAGAGGGTGTCTAAAGTTTTCAGCACTGTGAGGCAGCGAATTGTGGTGTCTGAGAAATGTCATTTGGACAATGAATGGGGAGGATAGGAGCATGTGACTACCACAACACTTACTATTTTTTAATTTAAAAATAAGGCGGTAGTCCCTTTTCTGTTCCTTAAAAATGATTTTAGGTGTTTATTGTTCATTTTTATTTTTGCGAGAAAACCAAAGCTAAACAATAATCTTACGCCCTTAGAAAAAAAGAGATAGTTAATTTTACTTCACTTTATGTGTGAAGAGTAAAAACTAAAATACCTTTCAACCTTCTCTCTCTCTCTCTCAATTGGATCTAGTTAAATAAAGCTTTTAAGAAAGCTTTTTAAGAAAAAAAGTTACTCAGACACGTGAATTTTTTGTAAAGACCTACCCTGTGGCTGCAGTCGTTGAAGAACTTGAGTTGCTTGCGCTCCTTTCAGTAATCCTAGTAATTGAAAAGCCTTGTTTTTCAAGTGACAGAATCAGTAGTGATATAGAATATTAAACTGATTTTCTAATATTGTTTTGCTAAGCAATTTGTGTTGGTCAACAGTGCAAATTTGCTGAAGAGGAAAAACAACAATTTCTTTTGTTTAAGCATCGTATCTGTGTGTCAGAAGCAAGCTAATGTGCATACTATAATAGATTCTTTTTAATGAAAGTTTCTGAATATTGAAAAAATTTAAACCGTGGGATAAGAAATAACCCCTTTTCAATTCTTGCCATAGTGATGGCACCAACTCCTCTTAGATACCTGACATGCTTAGACACTGAAATATTTCATTAATTTTATATTAACGTGATGTGTGTGTGTGTGTGCATATGTTCTTGGCTGCCAAAAGATGCTCTCAGATACGTGTGTGTGTGTGTGTGTGTGTATTTTCCTCTCGTTAGGAATCATGTGTTCTGCTTTGTTAGTAGCCCGTGTGTGTGTGTGTGTGTAGGTATAGACACACACGTATAATACAGGAAACTAAAACAAAATTGTCATGTGTATTTTAGGCACAATTACAGCAGCATATAAAATTAAATGATGAATACGAAAGTAAACTGCCATTTGTAATTCTTAGTAATAGAGGCTGAAATGTACTTAATATACAAATACTCTTTATTGATTTTTCCGTGGTTTTGTTTTCCACCTTAACCAACTTGAATTTAAGATGTAGCTCTGCTCATTAATTCCCCTTCTCACTCCCCTCCGTTCTCCTCCCCGGCTCTGCCTCTTTTTTCCCATATAGAAATATGTTCCGTGGACTGTGGCTCCCACGGCGTTTGCATGGGGGGCACTTGTCGCTGTGAAGAAGCCTGGACGGGCCCAGCATGTAATCAAAGAGCCTGCCACCCCCGCTGTGCCGAACACGGGACCTGCAAAGACGGCAAGTGTGAATGCAGCCAGGGATGGAACGGAGAGCACTGCACCATTGGTAGGCCCGCTGCCCTTCTCTCTCTCTCCTCCGCGTCCGGTTAACGAGCTCGCATTGTTTGCTGCTCTTCAACTTGGAAGAGCTGATTTCTTCCAATTAATTTTCACTCATCTTTCTTAAAAAGGAATTACTTTTTACATAAGGATATTGTTTTACAATGACAATTCAGTTGTTTTTAGCATGACTGTCACAAGTGTGAAGTATAAGAATTCTTTATTCGTTGTTTTTTGATGGCCACAAAGGTTGATGCACAGAAAGATGATTTCATTTCTTCCTTGTACATAAGCTTTCACTGCATTTTGCTTTCTGGTGTTCCGTATGGCCATTGCATAACAGCAGTATTTTTTACTGTAAGAAATGGGTCCAGATATGTGGCCTTTTTGGCTTCTGTAGATTTCACAATCACACATCTTAGCACTTGTCTATATATTTGAGTCTCTAAAAAAGACTTTTTTATGACTTTTTATGACTTTATTTTGTAGTACCACAAGAAATAGAGTAAAATACACAAGTCTAGCTGTTCTTAAATTTATATGCTTAATACTTCTTAAAATACGATGACGCTTGTGAACATCTGTTGGTTAAATAAAACAATCAAATAGGTGTTTAAGATCAACGATAGTACATAAATGGTACTTAGATGGATACAGAAGTGTCCAGAACATATAGAGTACCATATTTTCAAGATATTCAGTGCCTGTCCTTTTACTATCTGAGTCACTGAAATTAAAACATTTAATTAAAGAAAATACAACAAAAATAAGTAATAAATTTCTACTTCGTTTCAGTGAAAGTGTACAATATTAATTATAAGCGGCACAGTCCTATGAAAATTTCATAATTTGAGGTACGATGTTTCTCCACATTGTTTTCTGTCCGCGGGGGTGAATTTGGTAAAAGCTTTTGGGGGCACTCTTGATACCTTAAACAATGTCTTCTTCCAATGCGTCTGTAAGTATTATGTACTTTACTTTTTTGCTTATAGGAATTGGTTAGCCAGGAATTTTTTCATGGGAAAATTGAAATCACATACATCTTATAAATTGTCACAATTGTATCTTTACAAAACTTTAAGTAAAGTTCTTTGTAATCTAATTGACATCTGTTTCAAGGGTCCCACTACCACGCCCACATGTGGCAATCCACTGGAAGGGCTCACTGGACTCAGCATGGTTGTGCTCCTGGCTGTAGTAGTTATCAGTAAGGGAAAAGATCCAACAAGCGGTGTCTGGAGAAATCCACGCACAGGCTTCCTATGTTCCTTCTCTCCCACCAAAGAGGTCACGTGGAGCATGCTCCTTTCTCTAGCAGTGAAATGAATCAACGTGTGCATTGTTTCCGCCCTGTTTGAGACTTATAGTTAGAGGTCTTTATTTGGTTTGCTCAAAAGGTGCCCTTCATCAGCTACAACCACCAAAATTCCAGACTCTCCAAAGAAAAGCACGCGTTTAGTGCTCTAGGGTGGGCGAAATAACCTTATCAGTGTAGGGAGCATCCAGCTTTCCAGATGCCAGCCAAGCGTCAGCCCTGCAAACTTAGAAAGTTTGTGATGTCAACTCTTACCTGCAAAAGATCCTTAGGGTCTCACTTGTTGGATGTGGGCTTACTGCCTACAATTGGGGAAACGTCTAGCTTGTACTGAGGTCAAGTGCAGATGCAGGCATCCACAGTGTGTGCAGTGCTCGTCTCCACGATTCTGATATGGCTTTCCCCTCCTCTACTTTTTAAGAGAGGCTTCCTAGGGCCATGGCTGCCACTTGTTCATGTGAACTATGTTAAGGCAGAAAAAAGTTGACAACCACAGTTTGTGTATCATTCAGGGGACATACAGAGGTCAATGCAATATCCTCATGGCCAAACAGCTCCATACCCAAAGACCAGAATGGCAGAGTCAGGGCAGGAAAAACATGCTTCTAATCATACTTGGTTGTATTTTATGACCCACCATCCCCATGCCCTGTCAGAAGTGAATTGATTCTAGCTGGGGGGAAAATGTTATATATTTCACTATACATATCCTAGGAAGTACAACAAACACGTGAATATATAGCTTATAAACAAGGAAACATACTATAAAGTTGTCCATAGGCACATTTAACTTGCCAACCAACGGTCACTAAACAAATCGTTCTGTTGTTGTCCTCGCTGACCTTGGCGATATCACATGCTTCGTTCCCCACAGACGAGGTCTTCCTGAACAACTTTTCAGTTGTCCGAGAACAAGTAGGATTTTTGTTAGCAGCAGGTCTTTTTATTAAAATTTAACATATCTTGCTGGGGTTGTTAACAATTCCGTTTTCTATTGTTTCATTTTATTTTGTTGCCTTTATGCTCCATATGTGTAACAGTGTGGAAATAAAGGCCCTGCTTCATTTAAAAATAAATCTTCGAAGTGAACCTTTTAAAAGATGTAGAGAACCCTTAAATCATTGTTTTGCTCCTTTATGCTGTTAGAACTGGTTATTCCAAATTTTGACATCTGAAGGTCCCATTGCTTTTCCCCTGTCTACTTACTACCTGTGTATTTGTCCACAATGATGCCTAAGGGGCCAATTTAAAAGAGGCCTTTGTGAGCCACTGATTAAACAACCCGGGAAACTACTGTATGTTTTCTCATTTGGGATAGTTACTGTTCTGTGCATTTCCTCTCAATTTCAACACTTACGCATTTGGCTGAAAGAAGCTGCCACTTTATGAAAAAATACTCATAAATCAGCAAGATTTTTTTCCTTTCTGCATATTATGTGCCATCTCATTGAATACAAACAGGGAGGTTAATTGAAAGAGAGATGGAGGAGAAATTAAACAGTTAGAAGCAAACCAAAGTTCCCAATAGAAAGCAAAGAATGTTCTTCATTAGTCATCTTACTGTCTTCATAAATGGTTCATGCTTTCATAAAACCATAGGCATTTTGATAGTAAAATCGGTTATGAATTTAGAGTATTTACTGAGCACCCTACCTACCTAAAAGGATTCCAGTCTGATATTTTTGTTAGTGTTCATATTTTTCTCTCGTTATGAATCATGTGTTCAGCAAGTTAGGCATATTCATCTGCAGGTTCGTTGTTCCAAGTCCTTCTCCTTTCTTGGGTTCGACTTTGACTAGTGTTTTATGCAGATGGGAAATGAAACAAAGGGAAATCTACTTTTAGCAATATTATGATTAAAATAAATATTTCTCTCTTCCTCCCCATAAAGGCATTTATGATCGTCGAACCCATTCATAAATAAAGAGAAATTACATGATTGAACCACATCAAATAAGCACCAGCAATTATTACTAACATAGTCTAATAGTACGTGCTTAACTAACATAATATCCTTTGTATGTGACCATCCTACAGAAAGGTCAAATGATTATCATACTCAGGTTCTTACCTTTGTTTTTCACGAGATAAGAAAGATGTAAGAATATCTAGAGGATCCAAAAGCAAGTTAAAAATACATTAAATATCATTAAGTGTTTTATAAATGATAGTTGGCATAATCAAAATATTGCATAGCCAACTCTGTATAAAAAAGCTTGAACAGTTCTGTTATTGTGAGAGTTGAGGTGAATCAAAGTCAAATCTGTGAACTGGAAGATACTGTCTTGGCCTAATTCAATAAATTCACTCTTAATGTATTTAACTGGAACCAAAGTCTATAACGACATAAAGGCAACTCAGTTGCTTGGCTCTCTCTTCTCTTCTTAGGAAAAGAGGGGGAAACTGCAAGCTTATTGGCCTGTGGCTGGAGTTAATTGGCCATAGAAGCAATGTAGATGCCATACCAGCCTCTGCTGAACAGATGTTTGTGGCCGGAATCAATAACTTTTAAGTGCAATACTAACTAAATATCCTGGGCAATGATACATTCTAATTTGGAGTATTACTAACTTGTAGCCTCCACAAAAACCATTCTTTTCAGCATTAGCTGAAAAAATTTGCCTCAGAGCCATCCATTTGTATTTGAGAGCATTGGATGCTATAGATGAGATTGTGACCAGAAGGGAGTGGAAAGCTGGGAGAAGACCGAATAACACATTTGGTTATTATCTACCCGAGGGTCGTTATGAAGGTAAAGAAGGCTCAGAGCTCTGTAGATGGGGGAACTGTCTTCTGGAGGCTGACTGGCGTTTCCCATTTCTCCACAGACAGAAATGGAGAAAATGTGCTTAAAGTGTTTAAATGTTGGTTAGACATAATGAGGAACCTCAGGCTGGAAAATATATTTAAATCTTGGAACAAGCTCCTGAAGAAATTTTTGAATCCCCAGTCCAATAAGCTTTAGCAATACCGCAGTTCCTTAAATGTGAAACATTGGAGTTTCTGTTTGTTCTTTTTGTTAGTTTGAGGAGTGTTTTAGGAGGGGAGTATTTTTAAGTTCCTTCCACCCATTATCCCAAAAGATTAAGTCTCTTGAGAAGTGTCCCTATCTGAAGGACCCTTTGAGATCTTCTGCAATTCTAGAATTTCTTAATTATTGATCATTTCTGCTCTATTTGGAAAATTACTGGATTTAAGCATGAGGTTCCCTTTTTATTCTCAATTTCATTTAACTTTATTTTTATTTTTCCTGTGACATTAAAAAATGGGCATCACCTTCACTTTTTCAGATGACTTGGGGTCCATTTGGTAAGATACTGCACTTCGCATGCTCCCATTACTTTTCATTTGTTAATTAGTTCATTTCTTTGTCCGTTAGGCAATTATTGAGCATCTCATCTATGATATTTGACTACTACTTCTTCTGAAAGTCACTGTAACAATGAAAAAAGCATGGGCTTTGAAATAAAAAAAGACATGTTTTCAAATCAGTTCTGTGAATTATTCACTATAACTTCTATCTTAACCGTTCTTAGCCTCAGGGCTTTTTTTTCAAATGTAAAATAGCTGTAATAATACCTATCATATGAGATTTGGGAACAGAATACTCTGTTTAAGGGCTTTTGGAATTTGAACACTTGCTGCAGTGTTTACATAGTGAGTGACCTTGGGCAAGTCATTTAACCTCTCTG